GCTGTAGTCGGGTGCGATGTAAGGGCCTCGCTCCACTACTCATGCACAAAAGACAAAAAATATGGTGGTGTATCTTTCCATGTTCTAGCGGAAGATTCACTCTCACTTTGCACATTTGGAGAGTGGTGGAGCGAGGCCCCAGGCTACCGTTGTATGGCCCTCGCTCCACCACTCTCCAAATATGCAAAATGAGAGTGAATCTTCCGCTAGAAGATAGAAAGATACACCGCCATATTTTAGTCTTTTGTGCATGTGTAGAGCAGTGGGGCGAGGCTGTAACGGTTTCCAAAATAAGACAAAAACAAATAAGAAAAAAAAAAGGAAAAGCAACGGCCTATAGGGCTGAACAAAACGCCCTTTGTCGAGAATCAATAGTGTCCGTTGATACAGGCGTTTTGTTCGGCCCGATAGTGTCAGGGGAATGATGTTGTGGCACAGCAGACAAACACGCGTGTATCAAGGGCACACACACACACACACACACACACACACACACACACGCACACACACACACACACACAAACACACACACGCAAAAAAAAAAAAAAAGAAAGTAAGGCACATCCGCAGGTGCGCGGACATGGGGGTCACTCGGGCGCACTACAGGGCACTGCCAGTGCGCGAGGTGCGCACGTGCGCACACATCACCCGTGAGTGCATGGCGCTCGGCGCACCGGTTAAGTGCGCCGCAAGTATGAAATTAACACGATACGCCAAAAATGCGCCTATAGCACTAAACAAAATGGAGGTCCCAAGGAGGGCCGTGACGCACCGCCGGGGTAGCGCGCATCCGAGCGCTAATTTTCGTAGCGGGGGTGATCGCTTCAGCGCCCGCGCGCGGAGGTTTTGCATCCGAGCGCTAAGCTTCGTCGTGGGGGTGCTTGCTTCAGTGCCTGTGCGTGAAGGCGGACACGACAGTTCGGGGAGGTGAAGTGCGGAGATGGACAACGGGGGGAGACAAATGCGTCAGTGGGACCGGGGAAGGAGTGTGGAAAAGTAAGTCAACATAGCAAGGGACAGTGCAGGTAAGGATACGAGTAAGCCATCGAGAGTCGGAGAGACGAGAGAGGCTAGTGGAGCGGTGGAGGTAGCAACAACAGAGGGCAAAGGGCAAAAAGCAAGTAGGTAGGATAAAATCGAAGAAGAGAGGGGCCGGAGGTGAAACGACAGCAGGATCAGGGAAGGGGCGTTGCAAAGGGAGTCGAGCTAGCACAAGACAGGGAAAGTAATGATACGAACGATCCATTGGGGGACAGGGAAACGAGAGAGGCACTTGGCGGACACGTCAGCACAGAGAGGGGAATAAGTAAGCAGAGAGACGGACACGTCAGAGCGGGGAGGTAATACATCAGTGCAAAGGATTAAGGTGGGAAATCTTACCAGGTAATGGTAAGTGCATTCTATCGAGAGACGAGGGGAACCTCAATTTGAGAGCGGGGAGGTAATACATCAGTGCGAAGGATTAAGGTTGGAAATCTTACCAGGTAATGACACGTGTATTCTATCGGGAGAGGAGGGGAACCCAAATTTTGCGTGAGCGGGAAAGGAAAGATTAAGGTTAGGATCTTACCAGGTAAGGACACGTGCATTCCATCAACAGGCGAGGGGAACCTCGATATTGCAAGATCGGGAAGGGCTGGTAATGACACATGCATTCCTTTGAGGGATGAGGGGAATCCCAATTTAGAGTGATCGGAAAGGGAAGGATTAAGATTAGAGAACTTACCAGATAATGACACGTGCATTCCATCGAGGGACAAGGTGAACGCCAATCTTGCACGAACGGGAAGAGAGGCATTAAGGTTAGAGATCTTACCAGCAAAACAAAGAAAACAGGGAAAAAGGATAACGAGAAGATAGGAGAGGGAAAACATGGCGCATAAATCCATGGCATACTCTTATGTGCAAGCATCTCAAAGGGGAATGACAGAGGGAGACAAGAAGATGGCGGCCAAAGCAGCACGGGAAGCAAGGGAGAACATTGCCTCCCAAGGCACCTCAATTTCAGGGGGGGGTTCGGGTCAACCCAGGGCTCTAGGACAGCGGGCGATTGAGTTTTTGATTGAGAAAACAAATAACTATGCCAATCAAGATTATGAAGGAAACTCATAAGGGACAGGATGGTAAGGAAGAAGAAGTGGATGTGTGGGAGTATCCGGAACAAGACATTCCTTCGTTGCATGATCTATACGAGCGACACGCAGTTCTGTTTAATTTTGCAAGTAAAACCAGGGATTTGCCATTGAATGAGAAGAGGTGATGGGTGATAGAACGTTTGAGAGGATTGGAGAGTATTCCGGGGGTAGAACCGGAGGTATCATATCACAAGAGGGGAAAGTTCACTCTGATGATTGTATGTGTAGACCCCTCATACGCTCAATATCTCCTATCTTTGGGGTCACTGAAGTGCAAGGGAACAGTCGTTACAATTCAGGCATGGAAACCCCCAAAACCCCCGCAAGTGGAAGTTTCTCAACACAGGCAGAAAATGATGAAGGAGCATTTATGGGTCCAATTTGATAATCTCTCGGAAGGTATGCATAGTTTTGTGCAAAAGAGATTGTCTGAGGAATACCCAAACAATGCGATCATCGATTGGCTGCCGACAATCTTGACTTTCTGGCTCCTAATCATGATTCAAGGGTTGCCTGTCTGGAGGTGAGTTCAGGAGCACCACCCAAGTTCAGGAGCACGATTTTTGTCTCAACAAAGACTAATCCCTTCTGTTTCAAGTGTTGTGGAAGAGGACACATGGGCATGCACTGTCCACAGTCGGGGGCGGGGAGTAAACCAATCCAGTTGTGTCAATCGATGTTGGACGAATCGGACAACGAGTTGGGGATATGGTACATAAATGCAGCACAGTACAGGGGATGGATTTTCGACGACAACTTGGAGTTCCCCAGGTGGGTGTGGGTACTACCAAGGGACACCGACACTAAAACCTGATATATATCCCCCTTATGATAGCAGATGGAGGCAAAAGTGGGCCAATGGAAGATAAGGACATGGGTTATCTGATGAAGCCTATGATTGACGAAACCACGCTGTTGGATGATAAGCAAAGATTGAGAACAATGGAAGAGCTCAATCAGATTGGGAGGACAGTAGAAGTAGCATATCTGGAGAACTCAAAAGCAAGGGAGGAAGCACAAAACGAAACACAGAACCACGACCAGGAGAACGGGTCTGAAGGCGGGGATTATAGGGAAAGACAGGGAGGGTCAACTAAGCAGAGCAGCACGACCACCTCACTCAAACAGAAGGCTAGGACAGAAGAGTCAAGCGAGTCGTAATAGAGTAAGCAAGGGGAGCAGGGAACCAAGCGGGTTCAATCCAAAGGAATCAAGGTCACAAGCGATACCCAGCACATGTCGGGGGGTCAGGATCAGGAGATGGAGTCAGAACAGGGCGCGACAAGGGTTTCCAGCCCGAGACTCTGGGGGGGATTGTATGAAAGAATATGGCAGGCAACAAGGGAGGAATCGGGAGCATGGGAGCGTTGGAGGACCAGGGGGCTACAGATGAGGGCAAGAGTCAAGGAGTGGGAGGAAGGAGAAAGAATGACTAAATACTTCTTTCAGAAAATTCGGTCTAAAGGCAGCTCAACAATAAAACGACTTCAAACATCGGAAGGTCTATTAAAGTCAGAGGAGATGGTTGTAGTGGCTCAACAATTCTATAGCACTTTATATACTTCTAGGGAGTCAGCCCATTCGCAACAGCAGGTGCAAGGAGCCAGATCAAAGTTCTTAGCCCACCTAGAAAGGTCAGTACCTTGTGCACAGGCAATGATGCTAGAAGCCCCACTCATTCAGGAAGAGTAGTGGAAAGCACTAAAATCAACGTTACCCAACAAGACTCCAGGAAAAGATGGTTTGACCAGGGAGTTCTGGCTTGAATATTGGCCAATCCTAGGGAGCGAATATATGGCATACTTGGAAAAGGCCTCGCAGGTAGAGGGGTTAGGCCAGGATCCGACCACAGGGATTGTCACATTGTTGTACAAAAAAGGGGATCCTGAAGATAGTAGCGAAGGCCTTGGCTAAAAGGCTCAGTAAGGTAACAACAGGCCTTGTCACAGGAATTACAGGTCCATTATTTTGCTGACACTCACACACAATTGCTGCTAATGCCTCCATTACAATGATGAAGAGAAAGGGGGCCAGAGGGTCCCCTTGGCGAACCGAACGTTGCAGAGAGATTTCAGGTGCCATTAGTCCATTCACTTGGACGCTCGTGGTCGCATTGCGGTGCAAGATCTCGGTCCAACGTCGAAAAGTGGGCCCTATGTTCATTTACCGCATACATCGGTCTAAGAAGGTCCAGTCCACGTGATCGTATGCTTTCTCAAAATCAATGAAGATCACGGCAGCGTTACATTTATCTTGCCTCGTTAGCTTAAGGATTTCGTTAACCAGCAGAATATTATCGTGAATTCTACGCCCCTTAATGAACCCTGTTTGCGCCGGATGGATGATGTCCTCCAAAACCGGAATCAGGCGGTTTGCCAAGGCTTTGGAGAGCATTTTGTAGACCACTGTGAGCAAAGTTATCGGTCTATAATTCCTGACGTCCATTCGGTCGCCTTTTTTGTGCAACAGGGTGAGAACCCCTTTTCCCACCAGCTCCCCTATGTGCCCTGTTTCCCACACGTTCTGATAAAAGGCCATGAGGTCCGGGGCCATAGCCGGCCAGAGCGACTCCCAGAATTCCTTCGGGAAACCGTCCACCCCTGGGGTTTTCTCGTCGTCCATCTGTTTCAGGGTCGTCCAGACCTCTTCCTTAGTTAGGGGTTTTTCGAGTTGCTCCCTCTGCTGGTCTGTCAAGGACTTCTCCAATGGTGCTAGAAAGTCCATGATCTACCTTTCTCTGGCTGCCTCTTCCCTTCCAGCACACCTGGAGGTAAACAGGTCTTTGAAAAATGTTCTCGCGATCTGCATACAATGTGGCGTTGTGGTTGCCGGTTCCGGATTTCCTGACCGCGGATCATATAGCGCCTCTATCGTGGTCCTGTGAGAGCGCGCGCGGGCCAGGGCGAAGAAGGTCAAAATGAACACGGAACAGATTGAATCCCCAGCTGGTGTGCAAAAGAATACGGAAAAAACGGAGGAGGGAGGGGAGAAGAGCGGGGAAGTACCAGGGGACGAACCGGGAAATAAAGGGGACCAGGCTCAGAAGATGGATATCGATCCCTTCCAAGCTGCTTTCGGCCCGGAACCGATGGAGGTGGACCCACTCCCGGCAAACGCCGGTGAGTCGCCCGAGGGGCTGTCCCCCGGAGGAGAGCCTGCTGCTGGGGTGGAAGGAGCTCCGCCACCGCAGATGCCGGTGGAACAGAAGCTCATCGTTATTGCAGATTGGCTTATGACTAAACTCAAAGCCAAGTATGGCCCCCGCACAGAAGAATTATGGGATCAAACATACCTGGAATTGTTTCCGCTGTTGGACACCAGTACCTCCCTCAAAAGAGTGCTCGAGCACGGTCTACACCCGGGGGTGGGGTGGACGGAAGCGTGGCATAGACTTGCCACTTTGGTCTTTTCTCGTTTCCATCCACCCCGAMCCACCACCGAGAACGGGGAGGATGTGGAAATGGCACAACATGACGACAACCACAGCAAAGAGCTCCCCTCAACCTCGAACCCGCCGGCCCCCCCTCCCGACCCRGCACCTCCTGACCCTGAAGACGACATCCCACTGGAGTTAGTACGAAAGAAGAAACTCAGACATGTAGTAGAACAGGGCCAGGACATGGGGGAGTTGTCACAGACCGCCATATTACTGATTCCCGTGCGCAGGAGAGACGGGAAATGGGAAATTGGCCTGACCCCGGCAGGGAAGGACAGGCAGGGCGGACTTACACTACAGGGCATGACCTCCTGTTGGGCAGAACCGAAGAACTGTAAATCGGAAGCGGCTGCGGGGCTTCTGTAGATGCACCTGCACACACACATTGCTGAGAATCTCCCCCCAGGTGCACAAGCTATAGCAACGGTGTCTCTTGAGCCCAAAAGGATTGCTCTCAGAGACGTATACATTCGCTACGAGCCGGACAAGGACGCAGGCCTCAGATGGCATACCCACCCCCAACTGTTAGATCTGCAAACAGTCAAAATCAGGTCCAGTGAGACCTGGACGGCGCAAGATGTGCAGCGATGCCTGGGAACAATGCTTAGACGGGGGATGCAGGCAGGAGCAGCAGGGTGGGATTGGGAGCAGCTTCCTTGGGTCCGTCTCGACACCTAAAACAATGGACCCGGTTAAAGCAGTGTACGAGAAGGACCGGATCTGGAACCAATGCTGGCGGGCAGCGGACCTGGACCTGCGTTCCCTGAACGTTAATGGCTTGGCATCCTGCAAACCCGATAAGCAGGACGCGATGTGGGATTTGATCAGGGGGGTAGGGGACAGAAAGTGGCCAGACGTGGTGTGTATCCAGGAAACACATTTGATGCCAGACGTGGTGTGTATCCAGGAAACACATTTGATGGATACCCCGGAACACAACCTCGTCCACAAGAAAATATGGCCGCATAAGGCGATCAGGGCACACTCCCCGAGGTCGGGGAGTGCCGGAGTGGCCATCTGGTTCCCCCCCAGAGTCTCGGGCTGATCCGGTGCATTGGACAATAGACCAGGAAGGGGGTCGGTGGGCCTCAGCCTTGGTCGCTCTCGAACTAGAGATTGTCTGTATTCTGTGCATTTACGCCCCGAATGGAGTGAAGGAGAGGAGASCTTTTTTCGAGAGCCTGAAAACACAGATCCCGGATGGAGTCCCTATAATCGTGGCGGGGGACTTTAATGCAGCTCCGGATCGTTGGATGGACAGGTGGAAGACACCTTCCCCCGCACCTGCATATATAGAGGAGGATGAACAGATGATAGGAGATCTGTGCCTCTCATTAAAAATTTGTGACTCCTTCCGCAGACTCAACCCAGATACCCGTTCTGTTTGTTGTTTCCTAGGGCTGTGGTGATAGTTGTCTCTGCCTGGGGCTCCGAGAATTCTCAATTCCCTGTGGTGCATATTCTCTCTCTCTCTCTCTGGTTGAAGATATATTTCTATGCCATGAGGAAACTACTGGTAGTGGTTCATTACTTGGTAACTTGGCTTTCGGCCACCTGTAACTGAGCTCAGTCATTCAAAGCATTCTCCATTCCGTGCACTGCAGGATTCGAACCCATGACTGTTATTGTACCCATATCTGCCCTAACCTCAGTTCCACTTGCGTAATTTGAATGCGCTGTGGATAGGAAGGAAGAGGACTGTTGGAAGTTGTTTTTTCGATAGCACCTATGGAAACTCGTTTCTGACATCTGTCCCATTTTTTCTCCCATCACGAGTTTTGATAATCTGTGTGGCAGTGAAGAATTGGTAAAAAACCCTGTTTTCAACAGTGGTGTGGCGAGCCCCTTAGTGCCTGTTAGCCGGTGCGAAACACAGTAAGCCTTCTGGTGCTATCGGGAGAAATGGGTAGGCGACAAGGAGTTGTGGACAGAGTTATTGTGGTCGTCCTTGCCACATTTCGACGGAAGATGCACACATGGGCACTAACGGACACCAATGCACCGGTACGGGTAGATTGACCACGTACAGGCAGTTCACAATGCATAGTGTTCAAAGAAGTGCGCCGCAGCCTGTCCTCTGACACAGGTCATTGGTAGCTGGGAGACTCGGAGGACGTACCCGAGGCATGCACCAGCCCACATTCTCGCTGTTGTGTAGAAAAGATGGCCTGGAGTCTCTGTTGGGACTAGGCGACGTGCAGACTGTCAGAGATGATCATCCTGTGCCCTGACGCCAGACTCGACAATGATTGTTCTTGCATACGACCACCTTCACATTTTGCCTTTTTCTTTCCGAGTCCTTTGTCAACCGAAATAGTGTGCATTTCCGCTGAGGAATTTGTGCCACCCTCGGGCAGCTAAGGGTGGTTTTCTAAATGGGAAACAACTTTATCATGCATTTGTTAATTCACTGAAATTGAAGGAATTCGTACCCCACACATCCAGAACTTTCACCATCACAGCTGTGGAATAACGGATTTCGCCTGACCACGAGATCTTCCCGGCTTGGACGGCTCGAGGCCGTCGCCCTGTGCCACACGTGATCCAACGCTCCGCGTTGAGAAAACGCAACATGGTAGGTGGGACAAGGCACCTGGCGGGGCAGCTAGTTCAACGTGTTCTCCCACTTTCCCACATTTCTGCAGCGCAAACAGAACGGTTACCACCACATGGGAAATTTACACCACACAGCTCTGATGGCTTTATTAAACCACCAGTGCTTGGCCCAGCTATCGATGCCGAGCCTGGAATGCCCCTGCACACCAATTTTTGTCGAAGCGCCGGGGTTCCGTTTCAATTTTTTTTTGGCTGGCGCTTGCAGCCATTGTGGTTGGGTACCCCGAAGCCCTAAAGCCACGGCGCGTTAACGGGGAAGCACCGCGGTGTGTTAACGGGGAAGCACCGCGGCGCGTTGACGGGGAAGCACTGCGGCGCGTTAACGGGGAAGCACCGCGGGTACCGTTTCAATTTTTTTTTGGCTGGCGCTTGCAGCCATTGTGGTTGGGTACCCGGAAGCCCTGAAGCCACGGCGCATTAACAGGGAAGCACCGTGGCGCGTTAACGGGGAAGCACTGCGGCGCGTTAACGGGGAAGCACTGCGGCGCGTTAATGGGGAAGCACCGCGGCTGATAGCTGGGGTGGTTTGAGTTTATTGACAATTCGCGCTATATTTAAGGACGAATCTGCACCACTAGATGCCGTCACCCGATGCTGCCTGAGCTTGAAAGTTAAACCACCGGTTCGTTTCCTGGCCATTTTGCAGAAATGCGCCGCGCATGGAGGCGCGTCGCGCAGAATGTACCAGGGTGCCGTTTCGCCCGAAATCCATTCAGGCAAATGGGTAGCATTTAAGGCCTGATTTGCCTGGACGACTTCCAGGCAAACGGCTCCCTGGTACATCCTGTGCTACGCGCCTCCCCGGCGCGTTTCTCCAAAATGGCTGGGAAACGTAAGTTGTGGTTTTGAGAAAAAAAACGACCCAGTGACTATACGCAATTATTGGCTACCAATACTGACTAGGGGTAGCAAGCCAACTATCTCAGTTGACTGGTGTGCCTAGGTTGCGTTTGGGAGACTCCAGGGGAGTGTTGCCCTTAGACACCGCTGTTACTCAATGGGGGTGGGGGACGTAGATGGCAGGGGCAGCTATTGGCAAAATGCTCAGTCTTTGCGTTAGTCGCTCCCCCCACCAGTGGCCCCACCCTACTCCCTGACCACCGCCAATTAGGGCGAGGGGCAACATCCATTCCTTGAGTGTGAGAGGTAGCTGTGCTTGCAGCGGTCCCCTGTATAGGCTATTTAAGAAAAAAAGGGGAAAAAACGGGTTTCACATTCACGGAAACAAATCAGAAAAATTAAAAATTCTGAAAAGAAGTATGTTGCAAGGCTGGGCCGGGAACCGACCGGTTCAGCTTGCCTGGCTCAAACGGGCCCGGACCGGACCGGACCAGGGGGGGTGAACCGGGAACTGGTTTAGCAAAAAAATGCCCATTTATTATTTTTTATTTTATTTTATTTTTTTTTTCTTGGAGGATTCCAACTGCGCTTTTCGAGATCTGTCGAAATCCGCTATAAAATTTTGAATGTGCTATTTTTTTTTTGCGGGGGGGGTCCCAGCGAGATTGGGGGGCAGGGCATTACTGGGATGACCAGGTATAGCTTTCAGGTGGAGGGGCCGAGTAGTGAAGCTTGCATATCCGATCCCAGAGGTTGAACGAAATATGCTGGGAGAATGACCTTGCCAAAATTTATAGCTCTTCCAGAGGATGGCTCAACAGCGAAAAAGTTATGGGTTTAGGTCTCAGCTCGTGCAGGTAGAGCGTTTCCTGTTTTTTTTTTTTTTTTTTATACATACAGTGGGTCTTTAGTCCAATACATGTAGTGGAGATACAGGTAGAGCGTTGCCTGGCAGTCTGTCCAGATACATGTAATGGAACGAGGTCCATTCTTGGGCTTGCACCTCGGACAGCATTGTTACTCTGACTGCACGAGCTGAAACCCAAACCCATAACTCTTTCCCCAGACCGTAGGGACGTCGCGGAAGCATATAACTTCAGCAAAGCCATGTCAATTGCAGTCTGCTTTCCTCCCTGCTCGGGATGGATGAGCATCAGCGTTCAGCAAATACATGTGGTCTCTGGTCTGCTGAACCACACGATGCCAAATATACAAATGGGTCCTATTGGACCCTGCAGCTTCAACAAAACGGACGGCGGTTCTCCACCACTGATCTGCAAAGATCAGCGGCGGAGATCCTCCGCCCGTTCTTTTCAAGAAATGGGGTCCAAAAGACCCCGATTTTTTTTTCGGAGGAGGTAGCGGCCTCATGGGGGCTGGGCAATCACGGGGATGGCCGCAACTCCCTGGTACCCCCCCCCCCAGCATCATGAGCTGGGTTGCACCAGGGCCCTTCCGGACCGGTGGACCGCCTGGTCCGACCGGCAGGCTCCCGGTCGGAGGAGGGCCCCCCGGTCCATCCGGGGACCAGCACTGGTATGTTGTAAATAGCTAACAATATAAAGTTCAAAAGTTTTAACTGAAAGCGTGGCCAGTGCCCAAGGCTTGCATCATGTAAACTTCACAGGGACAGACATGAGCACAACAGATCCGTGGCGCTCGTCACAGTGGCGGAGCCTTTTTCAGCAAACTGCAGAAAGCTCAGAATGAAACTGCGTGGGTCCTTGCACATGTGCAGTTCTGCAGCCCGCAAGCCTGTCTGGCGTGCCTGTCCGGTGTGGTTACAGTGTTTCACAAGGTAACTTTTGGCGCCCGTACCTGGCCCGCTTGCCTGATTGGCATGCCTGTCCGGTGTGGTTACAGTGTTCCAGAAGGTAACTGTTGGCACCAGTGCCTGTCCCACTTGCCTGTTCCACTTGCCTGTCCCACTTGCCTGTCCCACTTGCCTGTCCCAGTGCCTG